GGCGGAAGAATTCTCAAGTGGCATGCTAACTGAATTAAAATACAGTGATTATAACCATCTCACAGAAACCTGTACGTTTTATTTTAATTGAAGTATATATTCTTTTAAAGGTAACCTCTCTTTATTCAGGTCCACTAATCGCTGAACTAATAAGGCCGCTGGTAGTTGGACTGAGTTCGAATCTTATCAAACATACTGGCTGTATAAGTATATTCAAAGATTTCCTCATGTATAACTTGGATACTAGCCAGTTTCGCTTGGGAAGTCTTCTATGAAGGTACTAATAGGTAAATAGTCCTTTTACCATCCTGATTTTATATCCTTTAAAAACGAAAGATATTTGTAGAAGGGATGTGAGGGTTGGTACTTAACAAAACTTGCAGAGATATAAAAATAGAATCATTCACATCTCAGGAAATAAGTAAATTAAGGATAAACGTACTTGACAAAGGCCACTTAAAGGCATCCAAGGGAAAAATCTGATGTCAGCATTAGCTAGCAAAATTACATTTTTATAACTGCTTAACTCTTATTCATCATAACTGTCACATTAACCCTCAAATTAAATGCTGTAACTCATATAAAAAAAATTAATTCCTAGTTTCTTTATGTCACCATTTTTGTTAACTCCATTCCTTGAACATAACACGTGTAGTCTTTTATTTCTTAAATCAAGTACTATATTTTTATGCATTTCTTTTCCCTCCCGAGAATGATGAATTCTCTTGTCAGTGTTTCAGCTTCTCTTAGGATAGATTCAGTGCCAATGGTTAATCCGTGAGTACACGGGTAGAAAAAGTGCCGTAATGCACGTGGTGGATTTGTGGGACCCATTATACTACTTTACATCAGATATATCGTACTGACATCATTTTTAAACTAAAACACCATTTCCTTTTAGTTAAACATATTTATAACGCTAAAATACTAACATAGATCAACAAAATAAATTTTCATTACCTTGTGAGCTTTTTCTTTACTACAAAGGTATCGTTTTAGACATTATAGTGAACTTTAATACAAATGGTTAAATGAAGTAAGCATTTGATAAAGCAGTTTTATATTGCCGATGAAGAGCTGACTCAAAACTATAATATTCATTTTTACCTTCAGTAGAAAACAATACTCAGCATGCTATTAAAAGCAATGATATGTTTTGCACTGGCTCACATATGTATTGAGATTTCTGTCCTTACAACAGGCACATCAGCCAGTTTTTCCTGTTTCATTTCGATGTTCCAAATCTACAACTATTCCTGGTAATTTTTTACGCAGCAATATGAATGTTCCTTGGAAATGTTTTTGACATTGCCTTTCCTTTTATATGGTCTTCTGTCAAATCGAACATGAGATTTTTAAAAATGTTCTTTAGTTTTTGGCTTCAGCCTAATCAGTTGCATTTTATTTGAAAATTAAATATGAATTATAAGCTACTATATTTAGTAAGTGCATAAAAAACGACCACTTGCCAACGTTTCGTGTTTCGAGTAACATTATAAAATGCCACTATGTTACATTATAAAAAGTTATGATTTCAGATTTCTTCTTGTCATCCACACTTAGTCAATTTTTCCATTATGATGCATGGATGAGAAGAAGATCATTTATTTTACCCCGCTTTGGTACATATGAACATATCTCGGAATCCAAACAAACTCCTGAAACAAAGGTAGCGCTGGTGGTCAAATCACCATGAAGCCACCAGGCAAATCCTGGTGGCGAAGAATCATCATCCACCACATTTTAGTTCGGACGTCACAGTAAAGACATTAGGTTATTTTTACAGCAGCAGACGTTAAAAATGAGCAATACCCTCGCCGTGGCTCTAACCTGGACCTCTCGAATACGCGCCGAGTATGTTGTTAAGTCCCTCTAAAGCCAGATGGCGCTGCCATCGTTACTGTTTACAAAAAGAATGTTAATTACTTTAGAGTTGGCTTCAATGGCGAAGCAGATAGTGATTGTGGGAGCCTGAGCGTCTCTCAAAAATTAGTATAATAAAGATAAAGATATGTTACAAAGTAGTTTGAAAATTAGTTTAATTAAGAGTTACAGTCCACTTAAAAATCGCCCGACCATTTGAGTGGTCCAGTAGAGCCGCAGAGATATCAGCTAAATAAATAATCTAGTGTAAAACAGTGAGTTTGCCATTTTGTTTCAATGGAATTTGTGTTTGTGGATTATAGCCAGGTGCTGAAAGAAAGGGGTAAGTAAAAAACCCTTGAAACTCTATTCATTATTAACTGTTGCATTTAGTAGATTCTGAATTAAATTTGTGTGATAATTTGTTATTGATAAGTGTAGCGAAAATGGCTACGAAACTGAAAGATGTTCTCACTAAAAAGAGAACTCAAAAAACTATCTTATCGAAGTTGCAAAAGAAACTTTGTGAGCCAGATTTAAGTGTTAGTGATTTAGAATTGTTAAAAACTAAATTTAACAATCTGCAAAATGAATTCGATAATATTTTTGATTCTATTATCAATTTAAGTAGTGAAGAAAATATCGAAAAAAATCTTCAGTGAGCAAGATGAAATCAATAGTAGTATTATTGATATAGAATTTGAAAAAAATAATAGATTGTCGAACGTTGTTAAAGAAAACAAAGTAGAAAATGCAGTAATTTCTGAAAATACTGTTGTGGGTTTACCTAAGATTTCGTTACCGACATTTTCAGGAGAAATGCATTCTTGGCTTTCCTTTAAGGACATTTTTAAAGCGAGTATTGATCAAAACCCAAATTTATCAGATGCTGTAAAATTGCAATATTTGAAATCAGCACTGAAAGGAGATGCTTTTAGAATTATCCAAACGATAGCTATAACGGATAATAATTATAAGTTAGCGTGGTCTTTCCTTGAAGAAAGATACTCGAATCCTAGAGAACAAATGTATGCTCATCTTAAAAGATTTATGAGTATTCCCGTTATTCAAAACGAGTCAGCTTCTGCGATTCTAAATTTAATTGATGTTACAAGTGAAGTTGTAAAATCGTTAGAATGTTTAGAACAAAAGTTAGATGGGGTTTCATCCGCTATATTTGCCTTTATTCTTAGCCAGAAACTTGATCAGAATACTAAGTTATGGTGGGAAAGGAATTTAAAGAAAGAAAAAATACCGAACATTACAGAGTTATTAGAATTTCTAAAGGATCACGCGAGGACATTAAACGCTTCTAGAATTCCAGTAATGTCTAAATCAAAAGCTTCAGTAAGTCAATCAAAGGTTTCTTCAATGGTTTCATGTGTGACTGAAAAACGTGCTTTAATTTGTAAACTGTGTAATGTGGAACATAAATTATTTAAATGCCCTAAATTTCAAAAATTCAGCTTAAAGGATAGAGTATGTTAAAAAGCACAACTTATGTTTCTGCTGTTTTGGAAATCATGGAGTGAGAAATTGCCCTTCAAATTACTCTTGTAGGCTATGCAGAAAAAAGCACAATTCGTTACTGTGTTATGAGCGAGAAAAAGTTTCGATTTCCCAAAATAGAGAGAGTTGCGAAATCGCCTCTCTGTCGGATCAAAAGTCAGACGCCAGTTCGTCTACGGAAGTAGCGAAGCCATTTATAAATAAGGATAACGAGTGTTTTATGACAGCTAATGTAAATAAAAATTGTAATGCAGTTAATAGAGTCCTACTATCGACAGCGATTGTTTATATTAAGGGAAATGGAGGAGAAATATTTCCAGCCAGAACTTTGCTTGACAGTGGAAGTATGATTCATCTTTGTTCATCGGAATTAGCTGAGAAGCTTCATTTGCAGAGAGAAAATGTAAACCTATCAGTAGGATGTTTATCTGGGATTTCAACAACGGTGAGGTCAAAAATAAGTGCGGTTATTTTAAATAGAGGAAACACATACAGTCGTAAACTAGATTTTTTCGTAATTCCGAAAATTACTCATTTGATGCCTTCTAGACAAATTGATGTCTGTAATATTGAGATTCCACAAATAGTTACGTTAGCTGATCCAGACTTTCACAAACCGGGTAAAATTCAGTTACTTTTAGGATCTGAAATATTTTTCGATTTGATAAGATCCGGGCAAGTTTATGTACCAAATACAAATTTAGTGTTACAAAACTCAGCATTTGGGTATTTGGTAAGCATTAGTAAGCATTACTCAGCATTTGGGTATTGAAGATTTACCACATGAGAAACAGTTAATGCATTGTGGGTTAATTTATGACACTGTCGAAGCACAGTTGAAGAAGTTTTTTGATTTGGAATCAATTGGTATCAGAGATGATCCCAATTCTTACGATGAAGATAAAGCATTAGAGATATTCAACAAAACTGTTAGTTTCAGAGATGGTCGTTATATTGTTAGTTTGCCTTGGAAGAAACGTTGGGAACATTTAGGCGACAATTTTGGTGTCGCAGAAAAAAGAATAAAAATCCTGATGAGAAAAATGCAGCATGATAATACATTATACCTGAAATATAGAGAAACTTTAGAAGAGTACCTAAATCAAGGGATAATAGAAAGAGTATTAGATTCTACGAAACCAGTAAACAAGCCAGTTTTTTTTATATGCCGCATCAGGCAGTTTATAGAGAAGAAAGCATTACAACAAAAATGTGTATTGTATTTGATGCGAGCTCACATGAAATAGGTAGTCTGTCCCTGAATGATTGTTTGTGGCCAGGTATTAATCTGAATCAAAATATATTTCACTTGCTGATATATTTTAGACTTAATAGAGTTGCAATCTTAGGAGATATCGAAAAGGCATTTTTACAGATCGTGTTAGCTGAAAAAGATCGAGATGCAGTTAGATTTTTATTTGTTAAGAATATTGATACACCTTTGCAGAATACCGACGATCAGCTAGAAGTGTATAGATTTAAGCGTGTGCTCTTTGGTGTTAATTCCAGTCCTTTTTTGTTAGCTGCAACTATAAAGCTGCATATCCAAAAGTACAGAAATGTGTATGATACCTTTCAATTGATACCATGATATTGATGATGATACCTTTCAAATTCTTGATACATGCATGTATGTTGATGATCTTGTTACAGGAGCAGATGATGTATCAGAAGCCTTAAAAACTTCAAGGGAAGCAAAGGAAATTATGCGTGGAGCTGGGATGAATCTACGCAAATGGGTGACGAATGATTATCATTTAGCTAAAAAATGGGAAGAAGAAAATTTTGATATTCAATCCCTAAGCTCAAATGAAAAGATACTGAAGGTATTAGGAATTCAATGGAACATTCAGGAAGATAGTTTGAGTATAGAGACTTCTTGTTTGACGAAAATTTCGAGGAGAAAAAAATACCAAACAGCTGGAAAAATATATGATCCTCTTGGACTCATCACACCATTCACTGTTAGAATAAAACTTTTACTACAAAAGCTATGGTTACGTGAATTACCATGGGATGAAGAGCTTCCTTCTGATTTGAACGACGAGTGGTCTGAGTGGTGTAGCGAGCTTTCAGAACTTAGTAACATTAGTGTTCCAAGATTTGCTTTGGATTCATGTGATGAAAATATAGAGATCCATGTTTTTTCTGACGCAAGTCAAAAGTTGTATGGTGCAGCCGTTTACGTAAAGGTACAGAATCAAGAAAAAATTTCTGTGAATTTGCTGGCTTCCAAGAGCAGAGTTTCACCTGTCAAAAAGTTTCCTTGCCTCGACTTGAATTGCTGGGTGCACTGATTGCTGCAAGATTGGGAACGGAAGTTAAAAAAGTTTTAGATCGTAAAGGTTCATCTAATATCTTTTTTTGGAGTGATTCTAAAGTTACACTGTATTGGATCAAAGGATCAAGCAGAAGATGGAAGTCTTTCGTTCAAAATCGCGTCGACGAGATTCAGAAGTTGACTAATCCAGATTCATGGTTTTATTGTTCAACCAAAGACAATCCAGCCGATCTTCTAACGCGTGGAGTTAGTGCCTCTTCTCTAGTGAACAATTCTAAGTGGTGGTGGACTTGTGCAGAATTTTTTACAGAGCCGCATCTTCCCTACAAGTGCTTACAACCAATAGTTCCAGAGGTTGAGAACCTAACACCAAATGAAAGGGAGTCCTTTGTGCAAGAAAGCAAAAGTTCTAGTGACATTAATGACATTTCTGAGAGAACTATGTTGATTGACATGAACTCTAACGTTTTAGACGAACTCTTGAATATTAGTAACAATTATTATAGAATAATTAATGTTCTTTCTTATATTTTTAGGTTTATTTGTAATTGCAGGAAAGGTGAATCAAGAAAGGTAGGCCCTCTTCAACTAGAGGAGGTAAGAATAGCTGAGGAAATGCTTATTAAGCATGAGCAGAAGGTTCTATTTTGTAAAAAGGACATAACAGGTAACTTAAAAAATTTACATCCCTTTGTTGATCGTAAAGGAATAATTCGCGTTGGTGGCCGTCTTGAAAAAGCTTCTTTACCATTTTCTCAGAAATATCCTGCAATCCTACCAAAAAATTCTAAGCTAAGTAAGATTTATTTTTCTAGTGTGCACAGAAGATTATTGCATGTTGGCCCCCAAGGATTATTGAATGCAGTACGTTTAAAATTTTGGCCATTAGGTGGTAGAGATTTGGCGCGAAAAACAGTACATCTTTTGTGTGACATGCTTTAAATGCAAACCGATTTTGTCTTCACAGATTATGGGCAATTTGCCATACGAGAGAGTTAATAGATCACCCCCATTTAGTGTTTCAGGTTTGGATCTATGCGGTCCCTTTTATGTGACTTACAAGCATCAGAGAAAGGGCGTGCTAAATAAAATTTACATTTGTGTATGTATATGTTTTGTGACACGAGCTATTCATCTTGAGCCTTTGTCAGATTTAACTTCTAGTGCTTTAATTGCCACTCTTAAGCGTTTCATGGCCAGACGTGGCAAATGTGCGAAAATATTCACTGATAATGCCCCTAATTTTGTAGGAGCAAATTCTCTGTTGAAGAAATTTTACAATGTAATTAATTTTCCTGATAAAACTTTGGCCTCATATTTCACGTCCGAAAGAATAATAGACTGGAACTTTATACCTCCCAAGTCCCCTCATTTCGGAGGGCTATGGGAAGCCGGTGTAAAGTCCGTAAAGTATCATTTAAAGATAACGATAGGAAATTTGCGTTTTACATATGAGGAGTTTGAAACCATAATTGTGCAGGTAGAAGGAATACTAAATTCGAGACCTCTTACACCTATTTCCAATGATTTTGATTGTTATGACGTTTTGACCCCAGGTCATTTTTAATAGGGAGATCAATACAGACGATTCCGGAGCCAATGATAATAGACGTAAATGAAAATCGGTTAAGCCGGTGGCAGAGAACAACGAAAGTAGTTCAAATTATTTGGAAGAAATGGTCAAATGACTATTTAGGAACTCTGCAGCAGAGAAACAAGTGGATGATAGAGAAGGACAATATTTCTGTTGGTACTATGGTACTCGTTAAGGAGGATTATCTGCCAATTTGCAAATGGATATTAGGTCGGGTTATTAAAGTCTATCATGGATCTGACAATAAAGTAAGAACGGTTAAAATCAAAACAAAATCAGGAGAATTGAAAAGAGCGATAACAAAGATCGCCGTTCTTCCGATAGAAAACTGAAATGATATTTTTGCATATGTATTGTATTGTTATAGTATTGTAATAGCTGTAGTTATAGTAATAGTATATTATGTTGTTTATAAGTATATTAACTTTGTTAAGAATGTTTGTATAATTTCTTGAAATTTTGTAATTTCAATCCGGGGGAGTGTTAAGTCCCTCTGAAGCCAGATGGCGCTGCCATCGTTACTGTTTACAAAAAGAATGTTAATTACTTTAGAGTTGGCTTCAATGGCGAAGCAGAGAGTGATTGTGGGAGCCTGAGCGTCTCTCAAAAATTAGTATAATAAAGATAAAGATATGTTACAAAGTAGTTTGTAAATTAGTTTAATTGAGAGTTACAGTCCACTTAAAAATCGCCGGACCATATGTTAACCTTTACACTATGAAAGGAGAGGAGAGAGAAAATACATTATAAAGTCACTCAGTGTGTTTGATACCTGATGGACGGAATTTTCCTTATTCCAATATATCGACAGGTAAGTGAGGTAATTCATCCATACGTTACAGTCATGATGCTATCCGTGAACCTTTGTCATGTATTTAACGCCGAGAATGAATTGCATACGCTTGCTTGAATTACTTTGCATGTGATTGCTGCTTGCTAAAATTTTAATATACGTAACCATTGAAGTGGCTGTACAGGGCACTGATTTCTTCCATTGTTACTGTAAGTATTTTATCCAAATTAATGGTCTTGCTGCTATAATGATTATACTAGTGGGATCATAATGATGATTTTTACTTAGAGTGATTACACAATTTCAGAACGACTTCAGGCCATTTAATTAATGTTTAAAATGTAAATGGTACTTTTTAATGTTCGATCTACTAACCTTTTTTCTGGACGGTAAGTCTATATCGTGATTTTCATGACAGAAGGGCTGTTCGTAAAATTTTAAACAATACTGATTTCCATTCCTCTTCCAATACATTCCAAAGTCCATCAATCGTGGTGGGTTTAAGCTTAGATAGAGCTCTTTTCAAGGTACCAAGGGCGCAATAGTTCACAAGAAAGTCAGGGGACTTCGCAGAAAAGGTATGTAATCTGTACCTGTATCAATCTTAATTTTTTCAAGGAATGCAGTGGTGCTTTTCGAAGTGTGACTGGTTGCCTTACCTTGATGAAGTTTCCTTGTTTGAAAAGCCATTGGGATAAAGATATGAATTTCTTCTGTAAATATTGGACGTAACACTTTCTCTTGATTGTACTTTGAGCTGCTTTTAACGTTTTTTCCACTCTTCTTATTTTTAATTTCTCACTGTAAGAGAATCATGCCATAATCATTAATCCCATACTGAAACTTACTTTGTAACCAGGACTGTACAATTTTATCTTTACGACTTCAGTAATAGAGCTTTTTTATTGCAGTCATTTAGGTAAACCCATGCTTCATGAAGAATCACAATGTACTTCCATTAATCTTCTGCTCAAGAGTTTTCATGCAGGGATCTACAAATTGTGTTGCGTCCAGGCGCATTCCTCGCCAACGCCGGTGAATATTATGTTGTTTAACTTGTAAATCTTAGTTTATTATTTTATTTATTGTTGCTACAGATGTATTTAAAGCCTTCTGATTGATTGTATCGGGAGGATTTTCTTTTGTTAACAAGGATATGGCTTAGCAACATTAGAAACAATACTCACCTTTTTCGGGTATTCTTTTGGTGTCTTCTTTCTTCAAGTTAAAGTAATGACTGACGTTTTTCTTATTTCCAATTAATAATGTTGTAGAAACATTAGGTTTTTTTTGGGGGGGGAAAGCATGCAAGATGAAAAATGAGCAATTGCCTTCGCCGGGAATGGAGCCACAGACCTTGGACACCGGCCCCCGTGTACACTACACCACGAACCCACGCCGGAAGCGGGAGAAAGAAAACAGAGGTTATCCATAATCCTTCTTCACCGTTTCCGCAGGGAAACAATCCCCTGGTTTTCTCCGAACACCGCCCGGTTTTTTTTCCTTGTTACCCTTTTTTTTATACCAGAATTTAGCCCCGAACATGGAACGCAATCCGGGACCTAGGATACGGGAGGCTGCAGGAGGGGACTGGAGTTTTAGGAGAGTCGAATTCTGGGTGAGGAACCGGAAAAAACAGTAGGAGGAATCAGGAAAGAGACCAAAGCAAAACGGAAAGCCCCCCTTTTGAAACATAAATGAAGGATAAATGTAAATATAACATATGATATTCCTCGTTTCAAGCAATAAAGCAATAAGCTGTTGCCAGAAAATTTTATTCCAAAGCATTTTTTTAATCTTTATCTATTTTTTAATGCCATTTTTAGGCCTTTCGCCACCACCAAGGCCGGAAGCGGAGGATCATTTTATCATGGAGGCATTTAATAAGGGACCACCGTTACCTCCTATGAAGTTGCCTCACCTCCTCCTTCTGCGGGACTTGAACCCGGACCCTTTTATACCGCAGTAGGTTTCCTTAATTACTGTACCGCTTGAACGGCTCAATCGAAATAATTGTGAAAATGTGTAAACACTCTCTGTATACTCGTGTGTATGTCAAGTTTAACAGTTTTTAGCGGTGTACAAGACGTAAACATTATGCGATTGCGTATGGTTTCTCCCATATATGTCATAAACAAATGGAATTTAAATAACCTTAAAATATTGCTTTATTATATTTTAACAAGAAGATTTATTTATTTCAATATTGTTCTTATCACTTTAATTATTTCAACATTATTCTAGCACTTTAAACTACTTTTTTTTTTGGACACCACAAATATGCATATGTATTACAACTTTCATTTCGGGACTTTGAAAGTTACCTTTCTCTAGACAGAATAAAAATTTGAAATAAATAATGCTGATTACACGAAAGTTTAAGAATATCTGGAAACTCTGCGCAGCTTTGAAAATGAGTCAACATGTTTACTAATGCATGACAAACCAGAAATGAGGATTTGATAGCGTTTGTCTCAAAAGTAAAATTCTATCAAAACGTCAAAACAATTTTGTTTTCAAAGTTGCGAATTTATTTCCCATTCATATGCATGTTGGGTAGGTACAAATATTAATGTATTCAGTGATGAATCGATCAAAAAGTAGTTAGCATGAAATATTGGTTTTATGTTATGAGTTCTTTTCGAGTGATTGCAAATAAAGTGCTATAACAATCTTGGCATTTTTTGTGCCCATTAAAAATAAATATATTTGTGGAATAATCGAGATTCTGGAGACTAGTCCAGCTAAACAAACTCTAGCTTTGGTACCACTTAAATTTTAAAGTTATAAGCAATTTCTAACAGTTTAAAAATTTTAAACTGTTAGAAATTGTTTATAACTTTTTACAGGGCATGACTTAAACCACTAAATAAAAGCCAAAAAGGTAACCATAAATAACTGGAATATTTATAATTAACCATTCGCTATATGAATTTAAAAGGCTGCAACGTCAACTGTTTGCATATAACTGCACGTGTCAATCTTGACACCAATCAATGGGCTTGACAACAATCGAATTTACCCACAAACAAGTCTGACGATTTAGTACTGTAGAGAAATAATTATATGCATTAGTTCTTATTAAAAAGCTTTTATCTGTAAGAATGTTCATTTAAGTACCAGTTGAAAAAACTATCGACAGATCTAAGATCCAGGTAAAATCTAAACTTGAGCAAAATATCGTATTCTGCTGATGTTTAGATTTTAGTTCCAAAACACAGTTGGTCAAGGCAACTACCTCTCAGTTCAGCTAAGATCGATGTGTAATAACTTTTATTACCTTAACACGGCTACGCATATTTATCTGCTTTTATATATTTATCATATATACCTTATATATGTGTCTTTATATGTGCAAGGTAAAACTGTAATTTAAATTCATAAAAACCCCTAAAATTTCTTTTTAACTCTTATAACACGATTCTTATAAATATCAAATGACGCATATACTTGCATAGTAGCAAAAGTTAGAATGAAATCATTTAATTTATAGAGTCCCGTATTCTTAGGTAGCATAAATTACGAGACCTAAAAGACTGTATGAAAGATTATTTTTAGTTGTTATTCACGACAAAAGTCCGAAAAAGTGTATAAAGAATCCTTTATTTACTCAATATAACTTTACAGATGGCCCCACCTGGGTGTACACAAGCCTACAATTAACTCAAAACAGGTAATAATGAACTTAATATAAAATGCAGTAGTTTAGCTTAATGGTCCACCAGATAATTTAACGCGCAAGAAGGCTCTGACTCGTAGAAGTCGGCGTAAACAAGCTTAGTGGCTAGAAGCACTCAACGCCACAGAAATCTAACCCAAAGTAATTCAAGACAACAACGTTCTACCTCATTTGAATACACGCGGGCTAGCTTATTAACATTCTGGTAAGAAAGCGTGGGTGAAAGGAAAGTTGCTTTAAACTAAAAATTAACTGTTAGTTAAATTAAATAAATCTTTACAATCAACAATTAATAACAATAAAACGGTGTTATGCTCCTCCGTAAATTTCCTATTTTGTAGTTTAATTACAGATACATTATTTTTTCCGCTTTATTACAACCTTCAGTTATATAGTTTTCTCTTCCTAATATATTAAGAATCAAATATTTTCACATTGGGGGATACAGTCTTTCTCTTTCAACGCTGTCTCCTCTGTACTAAAGGTGTATATACGTATGATCAAAGTTATTAAATCGCAAATCAGGAATTCCTTTTAATTCATTTTCATTATTATGCACGTATTCAACTCTTTATTCTGAAATAAAAATCTAAAAAAATCTTATGTGTAAAACGCATGTCTTCCTTGTACGGAATATTAAATTATACGAATTTTTTCTTGCATTTCATTAAAACATATTGGATTGAATTAAATCTACTTCGTCGATAGCGCATAAACCACAATAGAATAAATGCACTCTTTAATATTCATTACATTTGTTCATCATAGCGACACTCTGGGGCCAGGTTCACTTAACAGTGTTACATCTCGTTCATTTTATAACTCAGAATGCACAAAATGTATATCATCTGAAGGATTATCTCATCGTTTCCATATCTTCTATTCAAATACTATAATTAATCTAAAAGGATGTATAGAAGAAATTAAACAAAAAGAAACTGTAGAGCCATTAAGTTAATTGTAAAAGCCGGAGAGATGAAATAGCAATCGCCTTCGCCGGGAACCGAACTACGGACCTCTGGATACCGGCCCAGCGTGCAGAACCACTACACCACGAAGGCACGCTAAGAAGACGGGAGAAATACCTTATAATTTTGCTTATTTTGCACTTATAAATTTTAATACCATGCATTTGGAAAGCCCCAAAACACATCCTTTCAATCCACAACTTGCTTACATGTGCCATTTTGAAGGATAAATGTAAATGCAACAGATGATATTCCTCGTTTTAAGCAATAAGCTATTGCCAGAAAATTTTATTCCAAAACTTTTTTTTTAAATCTTTATCGATTTTTAATGCCATTTTTAGGCCTTTCGGCACTACCAAGGCTGGAAGCGGGGCTATTTTATTATGGAGGCATTTAATAAGGGACCACCGTTACTTTCTATGAAGTTACAGTTTTGTCTCCAGCGTGGGAGAGTGTCTAGCGGAAATTTTGAAGATATGCTGTTTTTAAATATTTTGTGATTTGGGGAAGAAATAAAATAAACATACAAAAGATTAATAATAAAAAGACAAAAAAATTTTATAAGCCATTTTACTTAGAAAACTGAACATTTATATGGGGAACTGAAAAACGCAAAAACAAACGAACAAACAAACAAAAATGCATGGCAACACTTTACTGCATCGAAAATTCTAAACGTATACTGCTATGCTGCTTTTAAAATGCTTGCAAATTTTTTATTGAATTGTAAATGGCGTAAGTGCGAAGAAAACGGTGTTTAATAATAAAGCTAAAAAGACACAAAAAACTGTAGTTAGTAGGTGTGAGTGTAACAGCAGACTGCGAGCTCAGCGAGAGCGTAAAATACCTTAATAAACCCTTCTGGGCGACCGCTAAAATCTGAAACTTTTCAAAATGTTTTTATATACAAATTTTTCCTAATATGGATACTGCCGATAAAAGCTTCTTACTTTCTAAACCGAATTTTCTTTCGTTGTGGCAACGACTATGACTTCTATTTCATTTCAGCCTAGCTGTGGCAAAAGTAATAAACCTAACATAAGCTATCATTACATTAAAACAACACATCTGCCATTTTTCTTACGAAGTAAGCATTAGCGTCCATTAGACAAAACAAAACATTTTCATCCACTCTCCTAACTACTGCTGTTAGGCATACATGTAGTTCGTTAACCACGTCGGGAGAAAGTTCCCTCTGGTAAAAAGTACTCTAACCGTCCGCAAACTAATTTTCCTTCTCTTCTAATCTCCAAATCAAAAAGAAAACAGAGTAAAACACGACGAGCGAGACAAGGGTGGACTTATTAGGTCGCATTGGCTGTCTAACCCTAAGGGACAAGAAAGAAACAAGTTATATATTGTCTATTCCGTGTCTGTGTAGTGGGTCCCTCTGGACGCAATTGGATTCTTACAGTGTTTGTTGTAGGTCTTCATGTCACGGTAATCTGTTCAGATATGTCTTACTAAATAGTTTCGTATATGGAGACTAAGATAACGACGAGGAAGTTGAGTGCTGTGTTGAAACGAGATGAAGAAATAGATGGAAGCGTTACTAAAGGAACATAGAATTTGAGAAAAGTGTTATCTTGGAATAGCTTTTAGCTCTTAAATTCTTAGCCATAAAAATCTAACAAAATAGTTATTAGATTATTTAATTAATTTATAAGGTATTTCTGCCGCCTTCTTAGCATGCTTTCGTAGTGTAGTGGTCTGCACGCTGGGCGCGTATTCCAGAGGTCCGTGGTTCGATTCCGGCGAAGGCGTTGCTCATTTTTAAAATAACCTAATGTCCTAATGTATCTACAAATTAAAAAAGCCGATCATTCGGACTGTAGGGAACTGGAACTCCAGTTATCTGGATCTTTGGCTTCTTCTACTCCAAGTAAAATTAAACTTGCTTTTACCGAGTAAAATTAAACTTGCTTTTCAATTATTATTACTTTTTTTTAATTTCCCTGTGTACATTAAGAAATAGGTAAAGGAAATGCACCAGGCTACATATTCTTTATGTAACTATTTCAGAGGAATGTGTTAGTTATATATTGGGTTGTCGTAGTTATATATATCTGTAAGTACGGACAGAATAAAGGACTCTTTTTCTCAAAATGAATTGTAAAAGGGATTTAAAATAGATTCAGAAGATATTTTTTTCGTGATGTCTGGACATGCATCCGTATGTATGTATTTCGTATGATTCAAAATCGAGTAGATTCAGAACGTTGCAATCTTGTATGTGGGACTGCTGTAACATGTAGTTGTCCACCTCCCTGTTTGGTTGCAATTATCAGCACCGTAAGTATATATATATATATATATAATATA